TATTACACAGGTGACAGCATTATTAGTCAAAACTGAACCATCAATGAACTCTTACTTTTCTGGCAGTGGTTTGAAGTCCAGCAGCGGAAGCTGTATTCATTATTTATGGAAGTCTTCTCACACAGCGGCTTCTCCTCCGCCGTTCCTGGACACAAATCCCCACATTCTTTTGGCGATTTATTTCCTATAATGTAGTTATTGGAAACAGCATCCAAGATCAGAGACCAGTCCACCGTGGAAAGGTAGCAGAGGTCCGAATTCTTCTCGATCCGGATGGCCCCCCGAGTGATGTTTCTCAAGTTGTACAACCCAATTTCCTTGAGGTTGGTCATCTCGAAGATGACCAGCGCGTAGTTGTAGAAAAGGCTCTTGCCCCGAATCACTGTCAGGTTTGGAAAGAGATCGCTGAGGGTCTCCAGGCCAGCCACGCGGAAAAGCAACAGATAATCGACGATCATCGTGAGCTTGGGGAAGCGGTAGTTGCTAAAGTCCGCTCCTTGGTTGATCAACAAAATCTGGAGATATCCTTCCACCACCGTGCAGCCCTCTAGTTGCTTCAGTTCCTCCATACTGTTGCGGATGTCGATGTCTGGCCCACAAACTGAAGGGGGGACACAAAAAAGTGGGATTTAAAATGGTTCAAGTCATGTTGTTAGAAATGCAAACATACATCGACTTTTCATCGGGCACGAAAGAGAAGGTCCACAGGGAAGGTTCAATTAAACTACTTTATTCCTAAAAGTCTACACACAGGAATCTTCTCAACTTCCAGCTGCTTGGGGTTAAGATACCGGTCAACGGTATTCAAGGGAGGTTGGGCTTAGTCCATTTGTGGCTACGTAGGGATTCTAGGCCGATTCCTTTTTCAACTCCGCTTCCAGGTTCTCCTACACTTCCAGGTCCTCCTACACTTTCCTTCCAAATCTAACTTTAGCACATTTCTTTGGTACCAGAAGAAGATTCCAACCAAATGTCCTCTAATTATTTTTATGAGACTATAGTCTGATACTCTGAATATCAGATAACTTGCTAAGATAGGTGTACAGTAGATGAGTCATGTGAGCATTTTACAACCTCCAGCCCACATGTGACCCATTGGCTATCCCAATGTGAGGTCAATTGAAAATTAGAAATCAAGTGTAAATAAGCGTTCGCCGTGCACACAATAAAATTATGTTCATTTTATTCATCTATGTATACAAAAGTGAAATACCACTCAGGCATCATCACAAAATCTCTAGAACCGTAAAGCCTACAAACTTGAAATTTGGCACGTATGTTCCTCTTGGCTTCTAGGTGATCACTAAGAAAGGATTTTCCGAAACGACCATCAGAGCTATTAGTATTTCCTATATTATTATTATTAACATGCTCTGATGCTAAGGAGTTCTACTCCCCCTCCCCACCTGAAAAGAAACCTGTTCCAAATGCAAAACACAAGCAGAGAGGAGTTTCAGTTTCGGTTTCGCAGCAGCAACCAGCTTCAGTATAGAACAGTTGAGGTAAGCCACGCCCAGGCTCCTTGCTGTCTCCTTGCTCACACAGCAAATACTGCTTCAGTTTCCAAACAGCCCCCAACTCTCTCACACACTTGACAGGACGCTAGCCAGATGAATACCGATGGATGCTGGTAGGCAGAGGCAGAATTTTTCCCTTATTATTTTCCTCCCCCAAACTAAGCCCATCCAGAGTTTCATAGCAAAGCACAGGTATCCAGCTAGTTTTGAATGAAATGACTGCTATTGTGACTGCTTCCCCCCCCCCCCCCCCCCAATTTATATACATGCATGCCTACGCATCTTCAAAGCCCTCTTGGTTTGGTCAGCCACAACAGTCCCAGTTTGTCATATTTATAATAGCACATTATACTAAACTATAAGCCATAATTTTTAAACACTCAATAAATGGATCCACTCAACATACAACTAACCTTCAGTATTATCATTACAGCTTAATGCTGTTTGGAAAAGGCACCAAACAATCCCTGGAATTTGGAGCTAAAGAGTCTTCAAGATCATACTTAGCAATGGAGTTCTTCTTCCACCAATAAAGACAACTTTATATAAGGACACTTGCCAGTACTTACTTTGCTAATATTCTCCTCTTTAAACAACTCAAGACTTTACGATGGATATGAGGGCTTTCGCCAACTAAAATGAAACTACTCATTAATAGCAATACCGCTTCACAGTGCTTTCCAGGCCAATCTAAGCAGTTTACAGAGTCAGCCTCTTGCCCCAACAATCTGGGTCCTCATTTTACCAACCTCGGAAGGATGGAAGGATGAGTCCACCTTGAGCTGGTCAGGATCGAACCCCTGGAGTGAACAGTGAGTTAGCCCTCCGTACTGCATTCTAACCACTGTGCCACCACTGTTCTTAACCCATAATGTGGTTTGGTTTCAGTTCAACATCGTATGCAAATGTTAGCAACCACAATTGGGACCAGCAATTATGTCACTAAACAAATGCAGCTCCTAAGAAGAAAACGGTTGATTGCAACTTTTATAAAAGACCTTCACATCTCAAGGGCTGGATATCCATAAGAATCTTCCCACCCAACAGTTTCTTGCTATCTATAGGAATCCCCAAGAACAGGTCTTCTTAGTGATGGCCCCCTTGTTTTGCCCTGTATGAAAAACTGGGAATGTCTAGTCTAACGAAGAGGAGGACTAAGGCGGGTGTAGTCCGCCTTCGGTCCGATCTAAGTATAGTATATAAAATCATACATTGCAATGTCCTACCTGTCAATGAATACTTCAGCTTCAACCACAACAACACAAGAGCGAACAATAGATACAAACTCAAGGTTAACCGCACCAAACTTGATTGCAGGAAATACGACTTCAGCAATAGAGTGGTCAATGTCTGGAATACTCTACCCGACTCTGTGGTTTCTTCCCCAAACCCCAAAAACTTTAACCTTAGACTGTCTACTATTGACCTCACCCCTTTCCTAAGAGGTCTGTAGGGGGCATGCATAAGCGCACCAACGTGCCTACCGTCCCTGTCCTATTCTTTTATTTTTCTTATATGTATCCATGTATTCATAACTATGTTTTTACTTATACCTATTATCTTGTAAGCAATTGACAAACCAAATAAATAAATAAACCCTGCAGAGCTCCAGAGCCTCATGTGGCTCTTTGGGCCCTCTGCCGTGACTCACTGGCTGGCCCCGCCCCTCGCCCTCCCCTGCCAGTCACTCCTCACCTGGCTGAGAAGGTAAGAGAAAGGAGAATAGAGAGGAGGGAATGGGGAGAGACAGAGAGAGGGGGGGGGAAGGAGGGAGAGGGAGGGGGAGGGGGAGGGAGGAGAGACGTGATATAGAGAGGGGGAAGAGGGAGAGGGAAGAAGGGAGAGAGGGAGGAGAGATACAGAGAGGGGGGAGAGGGAGAGAGGGAGGGGGAGGG